TTTCTGGAACTGGGACATAACCCTGCCCCTTTAAATCTCATTTGGTTTTAGCCAAGTCATGGCATATCATATTGTCATATCATGTCATATTGCAATTTCATCATGCCTATATGTTCAAGTTTCCTTCCAAATTCAAATATTCCCACATCTACTTCAGTAGCTCCTTCATGTTCCCGTGTTCCTATAAGTATTTATCTGCTTTCAATTGTGAAGGTTTTTTTTCCCATTCTGCCTCTCTCTACTTGAGTTATCAAAAGCTGATGATTCTGAAAATCTGCCCTGTTTCTGTCAATTCTGCTCTATTCAGTCTACTATTAGTCAGTACATGTCCACTTGAATATCATCATATTATCCTGTTATTTCTCCATGATGAAAGACCTTAAACTTTCTGGTCTTTTTACTTTTTACTGTGAACCCAACCCTTCTTTTTCCTGCCTTTTCACTCTTTTTTGCTCCATCTGAAGCTATTGCTTTAGGCAAAATATGCTTGCTGTATCTTTTTCCTGTCCAGCATCATATCCCCTCATTGTCCTTCTGTGCTTTGTCTCTTATTGCCTCTGTGTTTGTCTCTTAGAGCCTCTGTTACTGTTATGTAGTCCTCCTTTTCTCACCTTTCTCCTCTTCCTTCTTCAAAACTCCCTTTTCTACCTTTACAACTTTTTTGTATCCTAATTTATCTTTTATATTATCTCCTTCATAGCCTTATGGACCTCCTGGACTGAGCTCTCTTAAGCACAGAATACTATTTCTGCTTTGTTCTTAAATGACTGTTTTTCTATTTTGCATTCAGGGTTCGGAGCAACAATAACTCTACCTTGGCAAATTTGGCTCCTGTCAGTCTGGGGTGGTAGAGGGCTCTGCATCACCATCTGCTATAATGTATGTATATGCAGCATTGGTGGCAGCTGAAAAATAGATGTGATGTTTCGTTCCAGAGGAGGCTGCAGTCTGGTGGAGTGCCATAGGGTTTGTATACAGGGAGGTCATGAAGTGATCTAGATCTTTTAGAATGAATCTGCTACAGAACAAACAAACAAAAAGCTTTAGCATAAACAGAATGATCTCTGATAATTATGTGGGCAGGGCACAGGGAACATCAAAGCTGTCGCTGTTGATTAATAGCACTGAGATTTCAGGTGATAAATCTCCTGGAACCAGACCATAAGAGAAGTGCAAGTCTTCAATCATCCCTCCACCCAGCCTATCAGAGATTTCACTCTGAAGGCAGTAGGATGGAAAGGCTAGGAATTATATTTTTGCATCCTGGAAAGCATTCTGGGGAAATAAATTAGGGCAGAGAAAGGGAAACCTGACCGAAAGCTGGAAAGAGGAGGGAGAAAAATAGATGGCTGATTGGAGAAGAGACCCATCTTGGGTAAGAGTTCTTCCAACTCCTATTCCTCTCTTTATCATAACTTAATATCCAAATTTGAGCTATAGCTGGAGATTCATCTGTCACAAAGATGACCAGCTCGAAGGAAGTACCTCAGAACATACTTCGGAGTCCTGTTAGGGCCTGTAATATGCAAAAGAGAAAAAAAGCAGTGTGAGCAGGTTGTATACCTTTTCTCTTGTGTGCTGTGGGGCAATCTAGAAACTTCTGTGAGTCCTTTCAGGAGGCTTAGGTACACCTGAGGAGTCAAGCCATGTGTACAGGTTATCTGTGTGGCTAGTGCAAGATAGTTATTACATCTTTCTCTTATTTTACATCTTCCTTCACCTCTGTGCTAATCTCCTGAGTCTGCTGGCAACCTCTGAAGCAACAATGATACTACAATGCTGTGTCCCGGTAGAAGGGCAGAGTGAGGCTTGGGTAGTAGAAAGCAGGACAGATGAGAAATAAAGAAAATACAGAAAGTAGAACTGTGGCAGGAAATTACAGCAAGAGTGATAGGGGAGATTTGACAGCTGTTGCTGAGCAGCAGCAGTGCAGAAAGGCAGATTCTTTCCAGGGTGTGCTCTGTATTCTGCACTTATGAGACTCTGTCGATCTGAAAACACGAACAAGACAATGGGTACACCAGGAACTATACCTATCATTAGGTCAGTTGTGCCAACTGGAAGAAGCAAACAAACTGTTGTGCCTACAAGTTCTTCTTTGAGTCTGAAATATAAGCAGCAGATCTCAGAACAAATACAAGCTGAGAGTAGCTGCTTTGAATTCAACCAGACTAGTGTCAGTGAGACTGGAAGCTGTGGTAGAAGAGTATTGGTACTTTGTGGAATAGAGAGGATTGTTAATAGTTCCCAGAGAGCTGACAAAGTGCTTTCTTCCTAGGAGAAAGAGAGAGAGAGGTGATTTATAAGCTGTGAAGCATAAGTTTAGTGTTCAGGATGCAGAAAATAATGTGACATAAATCCAGCATATCTACAGATGACATACATTTTGTCATGTACTGAAAAGGTGAATCTTAGTTCTCAGTCTTTTTCTTGGTAGATAATATCTGGGTACAGAGACCAGAGGTTTGTTTGACAAGAAATGCTGTCCCACTGGGAATTAGATAAATACTAGGTCCTTAGTTTCAGATGTCCTTGGAGCTAGGTCTATAGAGTGTACATAGATGCTGCCACGTACAAAATGGTTGTTCAGTTTCACTTGTATAGTTATCAGTCTATCATTCCATGCACTGGATAAGGTGTACTACATTGTGGGAAGTACGAATGAGGCCTCAGAGGTTTTATGAATTGTCTTCCTCATAAGGATAGTAAAGATTTCTGGTTCAAGTACCATCTAGCATCATTTGATGAATGTTGGCCTTGGGCCTTCATGCTTTAGTTGATGGGGTGAGTGAGGCTGGGACCAGTTTGGAGGCTGAGTGGGACTGCTCTTGGGAAAAGCCTTTTAGGGTAGGATCATCTTATTTTAGGCTATTATTATATAAATACTTTCCATGGAAATTCCACAACAGTATCAGGCAAGATGGACAGTAAAGTTTGATTAGCTGACAGAAGGGGGGTTCATTTTTATACTGTGGTGATTACTGATCTGCCATTCTTCTGCCTCTGGAAAAACAAGTGCACATTTGGTTAAAGGTTCCCATTAGTTTTCTCCCATGGCTGCAATGAGCATTCTCTTCTGGTACATGTAATAATAACTGAAGATCTCATGCTTCATTACAACTTTGATATTTGCTGGTCCTTACTGTATTTGGTTCTTAGGCTTCCTATATATGATGTACACTTATATTCTACACAATTTTCTATATTTATACACCACATAGTATATGCTATGACATTGGTCTTCCCAAAGCATCTCAATAGATTGGGAGCAGCTGATGCCTTTATGATGGAAATCTATGAGGGTATCCAAAGGTTTTTCTCTGGTTTCCTAGACAGGGTCAGTTTGAAACTCTTCTTTAAGGGGATTCATTACAAATTTTGTGCTGCTGACGGGCCACAATCTTCCTCCAGAAAACATTGTTTGTTGACAGTACAGTGAGTGCTGATGAGAATGAAACAAGTGATCCCATAAGTTTTGAGGCAGCACTGCTATTGATTTTCTAAGTATTCAGTGCTTGCCTGGTGTGACACCAGTTATGGGTTGTACAAGCTAACAATATCTATATGGATATTACAGCTAATGGATATCCATATAGATATCTTCACAGAAACATTGAAGGAGGTAGGGAGGTGGTTTATGGAGGAAATGAAGTATGTCTTCCTTTTGGAGGCTTTCTGTGTACTCTTTCTCAAAGACCATGCAGACTAAGAAAAAGCAAAAGAAGAAATGTTTTACAGGGGTCTTCAAAATGCAATAATGAAACCACTGTTCTGGACCCAAAATAAGGGTGTTTTGCCTCTCTCTCCACCCCATCCTGCCTGCAAATATCTTATCCTGCTAAATGAGGAGCTCGGCATGTGGGGTCTTCTTTTCTTGTACACAGTTTCTAGGATCTTAAACTCACTGGTCTTTGATAATTAATACCCATCAAAGGACATATGGTTACAGGCAGCACACTGACAGTACTGGGAGGTGTCTCTAGGCCATGTTGCTGTAACATGTTTCTCATTCCTAACACTGTCTGGTAGCTCATTGGCGTTGGCTGAGCTCATTGCTTTTTTCCCTGGCTGAGAAACAAGTGGCAGAGTGGAGAGGAGAAGCTGTTGAATGCTCTAGTCTGTAGAAAAGTGAGCATCAAGTAGAATAAATTTCTGCATGCACCTGTAATTGAATAACCACTGAGCAGTTTGGTGAGATTCTTCAAAGTGCAAATTGCTTCCCATAAGATCATGTGGGAAGGCTGAGATTAGGCTGCAATGCTCAGCAGTTTACAGGGATCCCTGACTTCTCCATTAGGGCTTGCTGCTTCTCTTGTGGTCTGTGGACTTAGCAAAATAGTCTTGGGACACTGAGTGGGCACCCATCTTGTGCTATCTCATCACAGTTGCTGGCATCTTTATGACTGTCACTCAGTCTTTTGGACACCTGGTGTCTGGGGAGATAACAAGGAAGCCCTCTGACTTTTGTTCTCATTGTAAATATGGCTTGGCCAGGATGGGGAGCGCTCAAAGAAGAGATATCCTGGATGAGAATTTCTGCTTCCTCCTGTCTGCTTTCTGTCTCTGTACTTATAGCTCTGTCTGTCACACCACCTCTTCCCCCTCCCCCTTTCCTTTCCTTCAGGAGTTCCCCTCTTGCTCACACCTGATATTCAATCCCGGCAGAGTTAGTGCCTTTTGCTGAGATCAGGCACAGCACTGGGGAATCATGTGGCAGAGGAAGGTTGCTAAAAATATAGTTGAAACCTGCAAACACTGCCTTTGGGCAGGAAGGGGGGAAAGTGAGAGAGGCACGAGGAGGAGAGGAGGAGGAGGAGGAGGAGGAGAGGCAAAGAGAGTGCAGAAACAGGGCAAGTCAGAGAGGTCTGAGGAGAGCAAGAAAGGAAGGAAGGAGCAGCAGAAAATGCGGAGGCCATGCTCTCTGCCAGAATACAAGGATGTTCTAGGTAAGGCCCAGAGCAGCAGCTCTGTTACAGCTGAGTGTGAGGAAGAGTAGAGGCATGGAGAGCTCAGAGACCGTGATGCAGGAACCCAGGTCGAAGCCAGCTTTGTGGGGGGGCACACCACAATACGACTATGTCTGCTTTGAGAAACGCACCCGTTACGGGATACCTTTGGAGGCAGGACACGAGGCTGGGCGGACAGGGGACGAGCTGCACTACCTGGAGAACTCCCTCAGCTACCCACAGGTAGGGCTGGACAGCTGGGATGTTTGTGGCAGTGCAGGACATCTGGGATCAGATAGGCTCTTGGGGCTCCCAGAACAGTGCTGGTAGAGCACATATCCCTGTCCATTCCCCGACTTACCAAGTCTCCCCTTTGCTGACTCCCCAGTCAGGTATTGACATTCACAGTTGTACTTACACCCAAGAGTCCTATCAGCATTTCAAGTCAGAGGTCATTTTCATGTGCAATGAGAGCTGGAATGGGCAAGCTGGGACGGGGGAAATCAGCCAGAGCATTAATGTATTTGTAACAGTAGAGAGAAGCTGCAGCTGCCTTAGCTCCATAGCGATATTAAATAGAAGAGTGAATAAAACCAAAGATAACAGTGATATATATAGATGGGTATCTAACTGCACAGTTGTATAGATGAAGTAAAGCTCTCTTGTGACTTTTCTCTGACCATAAAGCACTTCCTAGTCGTAGACTCATACATGTATATTGAAGGTTTTAGCAACTCTTAGGGGTATTGTAAATGAGGGATTTTCTAACCCTTAAACTTGACCTGAGTCTTGTTCTGGTTCTTACAAGCAGTGGTTCAGAAAAATATCTGGGACACAGATGTACTCTGGTCATATCTTCTTGTTCCATTACCTGCTGTATTTCCCTTACTTTTCCTTTTGGGACAGCCTCCTGCAAAAGGGAGGTTTTACAGCAGCATCCTGGTGTCTTCTTTCCTACCACTCTACTCAGACTAAGCTGACCTAAGAGGGTTTTAGCCAAATGATGAGACAGAGAATGTGTGTGAATGTGAAATTCATAGAGTGGATGTTTCTCCTTACATGTGTACAAATCCCGTTACATGGATGGTGAACGATTGGGGGATGAGGGAGGGATGCATTAATTGTCCCCTGAAGACTTTTGTGATTTAGTGACAGGAAAAAAGCCACATTTGCCACCAAGAAAATATCTTTCAGTTGATGAGCATCCTAATGAGGATGGTCACGTGTCACATTGCAAAAGATTAGAGAATCAGTTCCATGGCTATGTTCAGGGATTTCTCTTCTGAAACTGTCTAAAACACATTTCTCTGACACTAAAGTCTTCCAAAACCACTCCCCTGCCTGGTTTGGAAGGAGCAACCCAAATAGGAAGGTCTCTGGACAGAAGTCTGACTGGAGTGGCTATGCTTTATTTACACTCAAGGAAAAGTATTGGCTGCCACAGCTATGTTAACAGGGTGATCACAGGCTGGGGTGAGATGGGATGGAGAGGTGTATGTGCCCACCTGGGGCATGGGGTGCAAGTAGGGCAGCACCTGGGGCTCAAGAGCCGAGGTGTGTGAAAGAAATTCAGCTTGGTGTGTGCAGTATGAACCGACCAGTGAACTGGGACAGAGGGAGCTGTGGTATGTTTCTCCCATTAAGCATATCCATGCAGAGAAACATCCCGGTTCACACACGTATCTACCAGATATGCCAGTCCCACACATCTAAAACTGCTCTCATCAGCAGGCACACATGACAAAGTGAGCCAATACAACCCACCTCTGTGCCTTTGCTGCCTGGCACTGGAGTGTTTCTGTGTTCGGCTCCAGAGGTATGATGACACAAGCAAGAAGGCCATCAAATGCATTCCCATGCATATCTTCAGGCAGAAATGTCCCCAGGCAAGCATGCATTTGTGAACACAATTTGCAATCTAAAACCAGTCAAATTCATAGTTTCATTGAAAAATATGCCTTATAAATACTTTTACATAAACACTCACGTACTCGTACATTTATGTATGAATCTTTGTATGCAGACACATTCTGGCAGAGCCAGACTTGCTGTGCATGTGTATATTTTGCTAGCCAATCATGCACATGCAGAATAAGTATAAATATGCATGCTAATGCACACCTTGTATAAAAATGCACACTCATTATCATGTTATTAGCATGAAAAACAACCCGCTGCCCATGTTTTCATCCATTTCCATGCAGAGCAACCATTAAGATTTCTTTACCCACTGTCATGTGAAAAAACATTTGACAGAGAGAGATTTTGATTCTGTCATGAGCTTTTCTTTTGCTAGATATTGCCTTCTGTTTTACATGGGATTTGATCTGGTTTACACAGGTCCCAGAATAGTGAAATCTTGGTCTTTGGCCTCAGAACTTCAGATAACTGATGGTCAAGAAGTATATACTGGTTAATAGATAACAATAATAGCAGTAGGATAATCAATAGTAATAACAACAATATATGCATATTTTTTGACATTTAAGATAACAGATAGTAGATATATGACAGATGCTGTAATATACCTTGATAAAAAATACATTATTACACACTGTAACATTTTGTATTGCTTTCTTTCTGCATGACAAAGCAGCTACAGCTGGTGAAGTATTTAGAAGCTGTGCTATTTGTGACTATAGAAAGGGTGTTTCTGACAGAGAGCTCACTCAGTAGTACACAGATGGGTGTAGTGGGAGGGATGTGTAATAAGAAATTAGGCAGCGCAGTAATACAGAATAACAGGCTCACAGAGAGAGGTAGGTGGAAGGGCCTCTGAAGCTCTCCTGCTCACTGCAGGGCTGACTCCAAAGCTAGGTCAGGTTGCCCAGGGCCTTGTCCAGGACAAGAACATTCTGAAGATCTCCAAGACTGAAGATTCTCTAGCATTTCTGGGTACCCTCAAGAAGGGGTGGATGTGGACATGTTTTCCTTTTGCATGGACTTTCTTGCAAGCTGTGCTTTTATCCTTTTGCCCTTCACTGTGCCCCTCCAAGAAGTCTCGCTCTAATGTTTCTCTCCAACCCTCCTCTCCCTTCAGGTGGTGGGATTGTTGTTAGATTGGCACTTTGCCTTCAACAAAAACTATTATTTTGTTGCTGTTCCCCAGCCCTTACATATGCCTCATTGGCTCTGTGTGGAGACAGTTGAGACAAGGGTTTTTACTGACATTGAAATTTACTGATGCAGTGAGTTTTGTGAGATTTCACCTTTGAGGCCAAAATGACTTCTCTTTTGCCATCCATCAGGAAAAAAAATCACCATAGGAAGATAATTTCAAAAATAGCAGAATGGCTACAAGGTGGGAGTGAGAGGGATGAGAAGTAGAGCCCAAGGCCACCTCAGTGGCCAGGAGCAGCAGAATATAAACAAGATGCACTGGCAATGCTGGGGGAAGGGATTTCAGGACTGGAGTGTGCTGTGTAGAATGTGTATTTCAGCCTGAACAGCATGGGAAATAGCTTAGGCTTTGCACTCTGAGAGGAGGGCAGTTTCACACAGGTGCCAAGCTCTCAGAAAATAGCTCCCAGAAAGGTCTTGAGATTGAGGTGAATTTTTTCCCAGAGATTTTGTGCAGAATTTCCTCTGCTACTCAAGCAATGAAACTGCCCCAATTTTTGGAATGACAAACCCTGCTAGTTTGCAGTTAAGCAGTAATAAATGCTTCCTTCCTGAAGAGGACACCCTGGTTGTGCTTTCTCCCTGGATGCTGGGTTTTTTTGGGCGTATGTTCCTCCCCCCATCCTTAGTGGTACTCATACCTTCAGTTGTTTTTGCACCATTATCATGTTCTTGTTCAGAATTTAGCCAAGCTAGGCGTGATAGTACCTTTTCTGGCTCAACCTTTAGGTGGTAATTGAGATTCAATTTTTCTGGTGCTCAGAAACCCTGTGTTCCTTGTGTTAGGGAGGGAGCATCAGAAGAAGGAACAGTCTGAGTCCTACTGTTATATTTTTAGTTTTACATGTCTTCTAGTGGAATGGATATTTCTTGCTTAACCCATTTTTGCTTTAAGGTCATTCTCTGATTTCTGCATTCTTTCTCTGTCCCACAATCTCATACCTTTTTAGATACTGCCAGAGTCCTGGAGAAGCAAAACATGTGTGTGAAACATTCTTTAAATGAGTTGAGACCATCTTTTTTGCCAGGACAGAAACTTCTTTTTTTATGTCTGGAGGCTAACTCCTTTTTCCCCCCACATCCTGAGTGCACCATTTTCCAGCCAGCCAGAAACAGTGAACTAGGATACCATATGAGGGCTTTCAGCATTCATATTATTATACTGTCATGCTGTTCACTCTGGCAGATGGAAGATTCTAATTTGAAGCTCATACTTGACATAGGTTTTAGTTCATAGTTTGGTTTAAGTTGTATTTGATATAAACCCATCCCTCTTGACCATTTAACAGCAATGCAACACTAGCTAAGGTGATGTGAAAATGCATTTGTCTAAAATCTACTAGTACTTGGCATTTCAGGCTGAAATAGACACAGTAAGTGACAAAAATGAGCAGTTCACTATGTAGGACTGCATTCTGTATGTGGCAGCTTACCTTGCAGATGAAATTCTTCAGCCTGATGTTTCACTGTCCTGTCTGTGTTATGAGGTTCAGAGCATGGCCATTCCTCACTGCTTAATGTACCTAGAGAGTATTAGTAATCACATGGTTAGTAATTGCTTTAAATTTGTCAGCTTCCAATACAGTGATGAATGGAAGAATACCTTCAGCTGTTCTGATAGGTTTGTTTAAGAGACAGCAGGTGAGCCAACTTAAGAACAGGGTGATTAAAAAACTTAGATGTGTGTTCTGTGAAAAAAAAACCTCTGCTAGAATTTCCAAACAGAGCTATGGCACTTGATTCAAGTGTTTCTCGATGAATATATGCAAATAAATAAAATACTTATGACCCAAACTTTCAGTCACATTTGTTGTCTGGAAATATTAATTGGTAGAGCACTGAAACAGGTGTTCAGAGAAGCTGGGTAATTTCTGCCCTTGGAGATGTTTATGAGTTGCCTGGACAAGGTCTTGAGCAGCCTATCTGGCTTGTCTGGCTTTGGAGTTTGAATGCTGGGAGAAGAACTAGAAACCTTCAGAGGTGCCTTCCAGTGTAAATCTTTCTGTGAGTGTCTGAATCTGTTTTGTCTTGAGGGAACAGGAACACCTCTTGTGTTGCCCTAAAAGGAGGAGGCAGGAACTGTCAAATAGATATGTGTCCTAAGCATGTGGTAGTGTTTTGTCTCCCTCATATGCTTTGACATTCTCCAGCTTAAATGTCTGATTTCGGTAATCAACACATAGCTCACTCTCCTCCTGCCACTCAGAAAATCTCAGAAAAGCAGGTGTTGTGCTGGGGGGGAAGCAAAGAGTCACCTTCTCACAGGTGGGAAGTGCATCAGGTGGTAACCTGACCTGAAGTAAAGCCAAAACTGGTTGATTGAAGGGCATGGATGGGGAGAAGTTTGCTTGCTGCTTCTCAAATGCACACCTTCCCCACCTATACTCTGAAAGAGCGAGGTAGGATAGCTGCTCTTCAGGGAATCTGGTAAACAAACACGGGAACACAGTCAGGGTCCTTCAAGTTCCCTTGAGATCTTGTTGACAAGACAGCACAACTGCTGCGTTTACTACAGATCTATGTATGAAATGTCCTTGGTAAGCACGTGTAGCTAGTTGTGAATTGCATATAACCAATTGCATTTCTAAATTAGTATCTGAAGACACAGACTGGATTAAGTAGTTAGGAAATTCAGATATACATGAGGAATTAACATACTGGTTTGGGTAAATAACGGGAGAAGGTGTGCAGTACCCTGTGATATTTCTGAGCTGATGCTGCTTCTTTTCCTCTGCAGGCACCATCAATGGCTGTGTGCCCTGTTAAGCATTCCTTGGCAGCAGGAGGAACAGATGCAGGACATTCCTGCAGCCTGTTTGATAGTGTAATAACTCTCAAAACCCTCAGAGATGTTTTACAGTGCTGCTGAAATCTGTGAGACAGCCCTGAGGATGGCAGCCTCATGTGAACTATTTTGACCTTCTTTTGTACCTCCAGAAAGTCTGCTCAATCTCTTTAGACCACAGACAACTTTTTCTTAGGATGTTAGAAAACTATGAATATTCTGTGATCATATCTTGTACCCCCAAAAAGGAGATGAAAAGGTTTTGGAGAGACTGGAAAGAGGGAACTAGAAAGGAAGAAGAAAAATTAATATGTGCTGCATCTACATGAAAATTTATGTCTCAGTCTCCCTGCTGAGGTACATTTGGGTCTGCACCATGTGGGATGGTAGATCAACCTTTTCATCCTTAATGCTATTTGTGAAGGAGCAATTGGCTTATTTTTTTCTTCTGATCTCACTTGCTTTCTGCTCCTCTAGCTTTATGGCCAGTACACAGACCAGACAACTGACATTTCAGAGAAGGAAGCAGCAAAACTACTGAAGAAACAGGCCCAAAAGAACAATGGAAGACCCCTGAAACGAGACAGCCAAGTACAGATCAAAGAAGAACACTATTCCAAATGTCAAGGTAGGGAGAATTCATCTTTCATAACCCTATGACCAGATACTGGGTAGGCCAGTCAGAGAGATGGAATTAAAGCGAGGCAAACAGACTAGAAAATCATGACTACATAGAAGCAAAAGAAGAAAGAAAGGGAATAACACTGGGCTGAAAAAAAACCCTTTACATGTGGGCTTTCAGCCTAGGAAGAGACAAGTTCTGTTTGAAATAATATATAGTCCCAAGTTATTAATTTTTTACACAGCAGACCTCTGTAACAGGAGGAAAACTTCTTTGTGTCAGATTTTTGCTGCTAGTGTACAAGATGTTAAATTCCACCGCATGTGTTCCAACCACTCCTTTTTTTTAATTTTTCAAAACTGCATGAGGTGTTGCAAAACAGTGTGAGAGAGAGATGGGTACTCGTCCTTCAACATGAAATCCATGATACTTCCAAATAAATCCTTATTGAGTCAGCCCTCAGCATAGGAGAGGAGAGACAGATATAGGCTTCATCTATGTTCGCTCAGTTTTTATGTTTCACTCTTCCCTCCACAGACTGTGCTAGACGAATCCAGAAATATGTTACCAGGAAGCTTGGAGAAGACTGGATTTTCTTGGTTCTTTTGGGTCTGGTCATGGCGTTGGTGAGCTGGGGAATGGATTATGTCAGTGCGAAGAGCATCCAGGGTGGGTTCCATTCAGGTGCTGCAAAAGTAGACTGTAAATTATATGAATATTTTACAAAGTCCAGTGACCAATGTTCCTCCTCCATTAACATCAGTGTCCCATCCTCATCCCTCGCTGCCTATGAAGTTTGAAGTTCTTGTAACATAGTAGAGTAAAAGTTAACAAGGGAGAGGTTCTTCAAAGGAATGGCAGGGAAAAGTAAGTAAGCAGGCAGAAACAAAGCACAAGTGTATGATGATAGTCCCTGTCCCTCATGCTCCCTTGAATATGCAGGAGCACAAGAAAGTGGTACTGTGGTTATTCCTATTACACTGCTTCCCTTCCTCCCCAAGAATATTAAACACATGGGAGATGGGGAGAGGAAGGGGCTCTTAGGTGTCCTCCTGACACTTTTACCTCAATATCATTCTTTCCAATTTTTATTTATAGAGTGTCCTGCAGGTTTCTGCTACCTGGACACCTAGTGGTCTCTCCTTTGACCCTTTTCACAAAGATCTCCTATTCACTGTCTTACATCCCTTCCCTGCATTTTTCCTGTGATCTGTCTCCCTTTTGCCAGCTATAAAAATTACAAGATATTTCATCTCCCCTGCTTCCCATCTCAGTGTGCATATGCACATGCAACACTGCCCACATCTTATTAATCCTGGCCAGCACATGCACATCAACCCTTTCCTCTCAGTGCTCTCGGCTGCTGATATCCACCAGACACTGCAATTCCTCAAAGCTCCCAATATTCCTTCAGCCCAGTGCTCCCCCCTCTAGAGCTTCCCCATCTACCAGGCATTTGGCATACTCTGCCAGTCTGTCTCTTATACTCCCTGCAGCTGAGTCCTTCGGGATTTTTTTTTCCTTTCCCTCTGCCAAGTCTCAGCCTTCTACTGTGTGGGGAGCCAGCTCAGGCAGAGAAGATGCAGTTGCACAGGAGTTGCAGTTCAGTTTGGATTCTCAGCAGCTCATGCTGTTGTATCTGGCTGAGCAGTGGTACCACTGCTGTTTTAATAGCTGTTGGCACAGTTCCCTTCATGCTGCTGTTCTAGTAGGCAGATCATAATCAGAGCTTTTAAACTAGTTTTTATGAAGAAACCATTGCTGGACCATTTTATTCTCCTTCAGGACCCACATAAGACCCTCAGACTGCCAAATGAAAAGACACTGTACAGTGATTCATCCTCATAACTGCATGTAACACACCTCTTCTTATGCTACATTTGGGCACAGGTACTAATAGTGTCTGACAACAGAGAGCCAATTCTATCTATTCCTGCAGAATGCCTGCTTTATTGGGGAATTCATACTCAAAATCTAACACAGCTTGTCTTAAAAAATGAAGACTTTAGGATAGCATTTCTCCAGGAGATTTAGCATGAGTACATTTAGCAAGTGTGTGATTCTTTGATGTCTACCAACCTGTTTGGAGCAGCTGTGGTTATTGACAACTTCTTTGTTTGTCTACAGCCTACAAGTGGATGTACACAGAGCTGCACCCGAATATTCCTATGCAGTATGTGGTGTGGGTTGCATACCCACTTGCTCTTATTCTGTTTGCGGCCGTTTTCTGCCACCTCGTCTCTCCGCAGGCAGTTGGTGAGGGCAGAAGGCATGGCAAGATCTGTTTTTGTCTGTCTCATTTTTCTTATTTCATTTGCCTGTGGGTTTTGTTCATCCCTTGCTCTGCTGTTGTTTTCAGGGTCTGGGATCCCAGAGCTCAAGACCATTATGAGGGGAGTTGTCCTCAAGGAATATCTCACTCTCAAAGCTTTTGTGGCCAAAGTTGTGGGCCTCACAGCTGGGCTTGGAAGTGGCATGCCTGTGGGGAAAGAGGTGAATATTGCTGTTTCCATGTGCAGTAGTGACCAAGGTATGGAAGGTGGGAGTTGTCTGTAGGAGAAGAGTATGTAAATGTTTTGTTCTTTCACCACCATTGCTCTTCTCAAAGCTCTGCTCTTTCCAACAACACATCTTCCATTGGCCATTTTGCCACTTTCCTTCCACTATGAAGGACTTGATATAGAAAACATCAAAGAACTCAAGTCAGGTAGTCTTCAAGAGGGAAAAAAAATTAAATGGAAATTATAGAACTGAGGAAGAGCACAAGTCTTATACGAAATGGCTGAGGGAACTGGGTTGTTTAGTTTGGAAAAAAAAGGAGGCTCAGGGGAGACCTTATCCCTCTCTACAACTACCTGAAAGGAGTTGTAGCCAGGTGGAGATCGGTCTCTTTTCTCAGGTAACAAGTGACAGGACAAGAGGAAATGGCCTCAAGTTGCACCAGGGATGGTTTAGCTTGGATAGCAGGAAAAACTTCTTAAATGAAAGGGTGGTCAGGCATTGCAATAGACTGACCAGGCGAGTGGTGGAATCACCATTCATGGAAGACTTAAAAAGGCGTGTGGTTGTGGCACTTGGGGACGTGGTTTAGGTGTGAATATGGTGATGCTGGATTAACAATTGGACTCTATGATCTCAGAGGTCTTTTCCAACCTTAATGACTCTATGACTGGCTGAGATGGTCAAAGAGAAATTATGAGGTAAGCAATAGCTAAATGGTTGTAGTAACCAGGGGATAACTTCTGATTTTCTTTTCCTCTTCTCTTTGCAGGGTCCTTTTGTGCATATTGCCAGTATCTGTGCTGCAGTACTCAGCAAGTTCATGTCAATCTTCTGTGGTGTGTATGAGGTAAGGCACATGTCTCTGCATACAGCTCTTCCACAGGCTGAACTCCTAAGACACACAGGACAGTATGAGTAGGCCAGAGAACACAGATGAAACATACAGTTTAAATTTCACTGTGCTGCTATGGAACAATAAAATACAAGACAAACAAAATTGTAGTGAAAGGACAGCTATACAGTCCAAATAACTGCGCAGGACCACCAATGTTACCTAGCAATTACACACAGACTGGTTAGGGATATGTCTTCGACAAGTTTTCGATCTCATGATGCTGATACCTTTGCATTGTGATCATTGTCTATATGTATTAAAAAAGTAGCTGCAGACAAAGATCAGTTTGTCTTTAAGACAAATTCATACAGCATTGCTAATTATAGACACTGACACCATCTCTATGCTTTTGCTGTCGCAGAACAGCCTCTGCAGGCGGGTCATTTTATTGACTAGTTGCATAAAAAAACCTATTAACTGCAGATATAGCTAAATGTAGGAACTTTGCACGCAGACTCTTAGCAAAGACTGACTGTGATACAACTATTGGAGGTGCTGTTTTACTTGAGTAGATCCTGTCTGCACACAAGGACCAGATGTCACTACTGAAGACCAGCTGACAGTACTAAAGACTGCACTAAAACGTGTAGAGCCTGCTATTTGTAATAGCAGTGGCTGAATTTGCTGCTGGCTGTTGCTTATTTTCATTGTTCTGGGTCCTAACCCCCTGGCTTTGCTCCTTCTAACCCCAGCATGCCTGTCTCTGGCTGCACTCTCTGTTCCAGAATATGCATAGGCAGCTCGACCTCCTGGTGCCGGCTTGCACAGTTGGAGTTGGATGTTGCTTCGGGGCTCCTCTTGGAGGCAAGTGTCTTCCTATATGTGACATTTAATGTATGATTCATTTAGCCTCTTGCTGTGAGATTTCCGGCTCTCAGGAAAGGTTCTCCACAGATACCTCTACACTCCAGCAACACAAGTTCTTTCTTTTCAAGTGTAACTGGTGGCCATGAAAGGAAGGGAAGGTTATAGAAAAGGTGACACCTATTCATGTGTTGATTTCTATGATGAATGATGCAGCTTGTTGAGTCCCTGCCTGCCATGGCCATTGTTCCACCTAGAGAGTACCAAGGACTCTCCAGAAAGTCAATAAGGATCAAGTAGAGAACAGAAGTTAAAAAACCTTCATGTAAGGAGTAGCAGTTGGGCAGGAGATGATGGCAAGTATGACAGGAAGTGACAATGTGAACTGGAAACTACTATATGAATACTTTATCAGTGGATGGAGTAACAGAAATACCAGTGTGTGCATTTTGGTTTCCCCATATAAGAAAGGTGCAAAGACCCAATCAGATGGTTGGGAAGCTGGAGTAGTGGTATGTATGGAGAAGCTGAGGAAGCTGGGTTTGTTGAGCCTAAAGGAGAAAAGCATAAAGGGGGATTGTCTAACTGATGTCATCAATCGCCTAAGTGGAGAGTTAGTGAAGATTTTTCCAGAGTGGCACAATGCAGGAGACAATGGGCACAACTCGCAACAAGGGAAATTCTGACTGTGTACAAGGAGATTATGTTCCCCTCTCCCAAGGGTGGTTCAGCACTGGCATAAATGCTCAGTGTGTCCAGGGAATTTCTACCCTTAGAACTGTTCACAACTCACCTGGACAAGAACCTGATCTAGCCTTGGAATTAGCAGAACTCTGAGCAGGGAGCTGAAGGAGACAACTCCCGTGGTCCATTCCCACCTTTCTATCATCCAGCTTTGAGGACAAATGTGGAAATGTATGTCTCCCCCTCGTATTTGTGCTGTCTTCGGATTTGCAGAATTTCTGTAAACATCACATGTGCCAGAGGCACATGTGGTAACTTCTTCCTAAAGCTGTGGAAATATACTTATAAATAATTTGTCTTAAAATATTCTCCATTCTTTGTTGTGCCTTCATTTCACTTTCCCTCCCACCATGCATTGCTCTGAACCTCTCTCCATGATTGTTGTGCCCAGAAGTTTAAGGAATTTTTAAATCCTGTGGGTTTTTTTCTTCATTGACTTTATTTCTTCCATGCACTACTTTCCTGTTATTCTTCAAATGGACAAGTTAGCTGACAAATACATGGTCTTGCATCAACAATAATGATCTTTACTCTATTTGGCTATTAAAAAAAATAGGAAGGAACATAGTTTGTCAGCTACAAATTAGATGTTCTTCAGTTGATATCTTGAGAATAGATATGGCAGGAAGAAAATCAGGCTTAGCAAGAGAGAGACTGAGAACTGTGTTTATGTGGGCAATATAGCAAGTTGCAGAAAGCTTGAGTTGAAGCCTGAGGCTTCAAGGCAAAACTTGTCAGTCTGCCAAAAACTTTGAGAGAAAGTAGGTTCAGAACTAAGGATTAGACCACAGTCAGGTGGTAGCATACAGGAGAATGTTATTTGTTACAATGGTAAAAAAACAAAGCAAAAAAACCCCAACAAAAAAAAACAAAGCAAAAAAACAAACAAACAAACAAAAAAAAAAACCAACAAAACCCAAACAAAAAACCCTACCAAACCAACCAAAAACCCCACAAACAAACAAATAATCAAAAACCCCCAAAATAATCCCAAAACTCCTCCATAGCAGTCTGTGCTTCTTGTTTCTTTCTGCATGCACGCAATCATTATAGTCTCAGAAACTGCAAGACACATTATACTTAATTCACTGGGAGAGGCTACAAAGAAAAGAGAAGGCTAAACAAGGAGTGGTCTGACTGCTGTCTTCTGTAGCTAAGGGAGGTGTTAGACAAAATAGCAAAGGTCTTCTCAGAGAACAGTGAAAGGACAATAGACTACAGGCACAACTTGCAACAAGGGAAATTCAGTCTGCGCATTAACAAAATTTCCCCCCTTGTCCCAAAGGTTCAGGGCCACACAGGTAACAAGAGAGGCTGGAGAATCTCCACCCTTGGAGGTGTTCAGGGCTCACCTAGCACCCTGATCCTTAGCACCTTGATCCTAGCTCCCCTGGTCTAACCTTGGAGTTAGCCCAGCTCTGAGCAGAGATAGAGAAGAAGCTTTCAGAGATACCTTCCAGACTAAACTTGCCTGAGACTGTGATAGCATTGTAGTATGGGAACAAACAGAAAGATATTATAGCTTTCATAGCCCTAGTTCCTCTTTTGAATTCACAGTAAATTGCTGAATGTGCTTTCCATTACCTGAGAAACATGTAATCTTCAGCTGACCTTAGTCCAAGATATAGCTTCAAACTTTACATCATGTTGGCCATGGTGCATAACTTCTTGGTGTTGTTGCTGGTAAATACCACCCTGTGTACTAATGAGTGTGGATTTGAAAAGCCAGTTTAGCCTTTGACAAGCAAATGGTGCTCAGCTTATTTTTTCTGAGTGCACTCTGGACCTCTTTGTTTGCCTGTTTGCTTTGGTCTGTGTGGCTACTCCTGTGTCCGACTGACACAATGCTGGATCCTGGGGGATGTCACACACCAAAGTGAGCACCTTCAACCTCTTGCTGTACTGCAGGCCATGTCTCATGTACTGTCAGTTTCAAGCTGTTAATCACTATGCTGGTGGGCTGTAACACAAGGTCCCCACCATTCCAGACACTTTGAACTGAGCCCCATCCCTGTTTGGACATGATTATCTCATAAGATCCCAGGGGCAATACTAGGGACCAGAAGTTACCTAGGACAAGGCTGTGGATAAGGACACATTATTCTGGGGCAGGGAATAGTCCATGGTCGTCTCTTGTCAGCTTGTGCAGAGGTAGCTTTGAGACACCTTTTGGTTGAGGTTCTATCAAATACCTGCTCAGGTAAACAGGAATTCATGGCCTTCTGGCCTTATTTCAGACTGGCCACCCAGATTCTCACCATAACACAGGACCACCCTTTCTCAAAACTCTCATGGGACATCTAAGAGGCTACTTTGGGAACACAGGATAGTAGAAATTACTAAATACACAGACTTTTAACACTAGTGTATATAGGATCTCGGCAAAATAAAATCAAATAAAACAAAACCTATTTGCTCACCTTTCACTATTCTCAGGCACCTCAAGGCCAAATTTTGCAGAAAAAACGGAAGAGCATTTTCACCATTTCAACAGCTCTATGTCTTCCAAAACTGTCTCAGGAAAGACTCTACCTTTTATACCTTTCATTTCCCTTTATTATCAGGATAGTTTTCACCAAAACAGCACAATGCTTTACTAGGTGATCTGTTACCCACTTACCTACTGGGGGTGAAAGGACCTTCAGCATTAGTCCATACTCTGCTCTGAACATGCATGTGCCTTGTGCACACAGACTCACAGAGTAGGTTTTTTTGAGGCACTCTGTGGCACATGTGAATCCTGAGATTCCCTGACAAAGTAAAAGAGACGGAGAGAAACCTGCTTATTCTCCTTCCACCTTGAGGAGGATTCTCCATGAGACATTTCTTCTACAGTGACAGAAATGTGCATTTTTAAATGGAAGATGAGATGCCACCTTAACCACGTGTCTTGAATGTGTGATTTCAGGTATATGCCTGTCCTGTGCCAGGTCTTGTCTTTTGAATATTTTGAAGCCATTCCGAAAAGAGAAGATAAATATAGCTATAACTCTGAGACTGGTGACAGAGCTGGGTGACATCAAGTGACTGTACATGCCAATTTTGTTACTCACTCTGCTTTCTTTCCTTCTCTCTTCTGTTTGTCTGTCTCGTCTCTTTCACCAGTAGCAGCCATACTATTACACGGATGTCCTGACTGTGGGGTGTGCTGTGGGTGTTGGCTGCTGTTTTGGGACACCACTTGGAGGCAAGTGGCTGTTCTGTTTCCTTTTTCTCAGGTACCTAAATCCTCTCCTGCTTAGTCCTCTTCTCTCCCACTTTCCTGCACCTCATTTTTGGTCTATCATATATTTTGGATGAAGAAGCTTACCTTTAGTGTTACCAACCTCCTCAGCAAATCTGACATGGTCTTTTTTTCCACGTGTTGTGCACCTTCTGGAGACAGGAGGGGAAGGCTCTCTAGAACACTGGTCTCCAAATTGGGGTGTGCACAGCTCAGGGGGTGCGCAAGGTGGTCTATTAGGTATGGCAAGGAAATATTGGAATTTCTATTTTTTAATATTAAAAAGTAAGTAAATTAAACTTTACTAATATTAAGCATATGTATTGGCAGTGGTGACCTCTCTCAGTCCATGTAATCTAGCCAGTTGTCACATACAGTGCATGAAGTGTAGAGTTGTTCCCAATGTGGAGGGTTGACCATGGTGCCCTCACTCATTCAGCATATTGCAATGCGTTGCAATCAATGTGTGCCCATACTGGATTAAGTGGATTTATGGATTATATTATCTAGTGTTAACTAAACTAATCCTCACAAATTGGACAAGTGGCTTAAAAAGACTCCTGCAAAGAGGCCATGGATTGAAGATAATACTAATAATGTGAGCACAGACAAATGACAAGAAAGTGGCAGAGCTGACACTTCTCCTCCTCCTAGTACAGGCTCTTAATCAGCCACACTACAAGGTACAAACAATGAGCAGCTAATCAGGTACGACAAGAAGCTGGACAAATAAAATCAAAATTATCAAAGGCTATTTTAAATATGGATTTACATCTGTTACTGTTAATGATGGACCTCACCCTGAGTGTGTATTGTGCTTTGAGAGGTTGACTAATGATGGTATGAAGCCATCAGAATTAGAAAGTCATTCTAAATCTAAGCATCCAGAACATGAAGACAAACCTCTACAATTTTATCAGCGATTTCAAGCCATGTGATATTTGATCAAGTACTTTACAAAATTTCACTGAACCTAATGATAAATGTATAGAAGCCTCCTTTGAGGTTTCTTCCTTTGCAGTAAAAGACAAACAGCCACACACCATTGGGGAAATGCTTGTTCTTCCTACAAGAACTACTTTCTCTGAGCCACCAGATCTACCAGATCTATCAGAGAAGCTGCATTCCCAACAGTAAATTACTTTGTTAATAAAAATGTTTTATGGAAAAGCTGTGAAAATGTTAACAGCTGGTGGAGTGGACTAAGAGAAGGTTTAGGTTGCAAGGTTGCATCAATAGCATCACACCTGGAATTCGTTCACTGCAGTGTTCGTAGGTGAGCTATTGCAGCAAAGAAATGAGAGCCAGACCAGTTATGCATTTTTCTTTTACAAAAGGCAAGAGTTCTGAATTTGTTTATCTTTACTGTGATGACAAGTGCCTGTCAGTAGTCTGCTACCTAGCAGTTATTTTTGAAAAAATAAACATACTTGATGTATGTACTTGATGTACTTCAAGGTGAAAGTGATGTTCACAATGAGTGAGTGTGACTGCTTTTCAAAAGAAACTTGTGGAGGTTTTGTGAATCTGTTGCCAAATACAAAGCAAGTGTCTCAGCTACAAAAACTCTCATTAAATGTACGCTTGAAAAAAACTTGGAAACAGAAATTTCTAACCAGTTTAAAAACCTTCAAGATTAAGATTTTCAGTGAGGTTTGAACTTTCTTGTTAAAGATATAAAAATTCAATTCCTTCTGATTATTTTGCAAGAGCCAAGTGATTGGCATCCAGGAAGATGGAAATTTACTGCCCAAATTTCAACAAAAATGTTTGCATAAGTGGTGGGTAGGATTGAAAAAATAGTGTCATGATTTAGTCAGCACAGCCAATTTCTTGCATTTGGATCTGTATGTCTTTCAGAGATATCTTTTTCAGATATGACAGACATTAAGACAAAGTATCAAAATAAACTGAACATAGAACCAAAATTTTGAACCACTGTGGCACAAAGTGTTAAATCCAGATGTTAAAAACTAAAGAAGAATATCAGTATTTTTAGTGAAAATATTTTGCTGTTCCATTAATAAATAACACTATTTTTAAAAATTTTGTTTATTTCATCTTTATATCATGCCTTTTAATTTCTATTTTTTGTCTATGTTTTATATTGTACATAATATTTTAGTACACTAGTACATGCATATTATTTTTAAATAAATACACATATAGAGGGGAGGATACATGCTCAAAAATCTTTTATTGGTAGGGGTGCATCATCAAAAAAGTGTGGAGACCACTGCTCTAGAAAGCTGTTCATAAGCCTCTCTCATGCTTCTAACATTACACTTCAGATTTTAACTTTGCTCCCTTTCCAACTCTTTCTAGGGGTTCTTTTCAGCATTGAGGTCACTTCCACTTACTTTGCTGTGCGCAATTATTGGAGAGGTTTCTTTGCAGCTACCTTTAGTGCCTTCGTTTTCCGAGTCCTTGCTGTTTGGAACAAGGATGCAGGTAAGCCAAGAGCCATTCCTACTCTCTTTGTACAAATTTTTCTCTATTGATGCATTATTTTCCATCTTTCTCAAAACCACAATGTTCCATGGTGTTTGAAATTTCTGCCATAACACATGACTTCAGGCAGTAGAGAAGGAAAGAGAGAGGGAAGTGGCTTCTCATCAGTTGTCTAGCCCAACTTATTTCTAGGTGTGCTGGGGATACGACTGATAAATGACAGAATATGAGTCCTAAGTGAGTAAGAGAGACCCTGAGGTGGGATTTTTGCCTCTGCTGAGCATAACATCAAGACTGCAAACACAGAGATATCCCATCACAGAGGATGTAATACCTTCCATAGTGTATGCTCCTGAGATCTGCTGGAAATGGCATAGTCTGATTTAGTCATCTCTTGACTAAAAACATTAAAACAAATAGTCAAGAAATTTGAGATGATAAAGTGATAAGGAGGCTACAGGATTGGTAGGACCTGACCGAAGGTCCTGAAAAAAATAACTGTCTCAAGTAACCGGAAAACATGAGTGCAACATTTGTGCAGACAGAAATAGCACAGGGCAAGCTTGTTTGGAACTTCCAGAGAATTTCAGACACTATGGCAATAGAGTTCTGATGCAGAAGGCTGCCATTTCTATGTAAACGTCTTCCTTATAATGTCTTTATCTTATATAATGAGATCTGTTTTATTGATCTGAGCTCCATGTGGGTAGTTTACTTACTTAAAACTGGTATAACTTATGCCTCTCTTGACTTCACAGGGCTGAATTTTTGGAGGGGTTGAATATTCTCTTGAAGAGGGAAAAAGACTACACTTTCTACTTGAATACAGAAAGTGACTACATCTTGGTTTGTGTAACACTACTTAAAACTGAGGGGTATTCAACCACTAGATCTGCCACTAAAAAAAAAGACCAACCACATCTTTCTGTTCTTTACAGAGAAAAATATAAGAAATTTGAAGAGATATGACAGGACATAATCTCCTATCCTTCACTCTATCTGCTCTAGCTCCCTTGCTGATCTCTTGAACCATTAGAAATTAACTTAATCCTGAAACATCTTGACTGCTGTCCTTTCTTCAAAATCATCCAGACAGCTTTAATGCCCATATTAATGGCCCTTAAGTTCTGCTTCATTGACTGTCTGGGTTAAAAAGCTCCATGATTCAATTTTCTATGAAAAATTGTTCCTTTTCATATTTCAGAATTTTCTTTGTCTGTGTTGCCAGTCTCCTTGTCCTCGTATTAAGGAACTAAAACTTTGGTCTAGCTAAGTCATTAATTATTTTATCTTTTATCATGCCTGCTCTAGCTTATCTTTCATGTCTTTTCTCGCTAATTTCTGTTGGAAAGTTACAAGCCCAGTCTTTTCCATCTTTTTTTCATGCCAGGATTTTTCTTAGACCCCCTCTCTGATGTCTTCACAATCGGCTCCAACATTGACACCATTCAACACCACAGGGCTCCAAGACAACAATTAGCAATTCCTGCTACATGTGTATTATGACACATATCATGACATGTCTGACATAATAAACTCACTTTTTTTCTCTCTTTGGGCTAGCTTCTGATTCGTGATAATATTTTCCCTTTTGCTGTTTGATTACTGGACCTCTACATGAAACTCCACCACCTCAAGTAGGACCTCTTAATAATCTGAATAAATGCCATTCCCCTGAATCTGGTTATGCTGTTTTCTTTTAAAAACTCCACATCAATAAGTTCTTTTTCATTTGAATTATCTTTATTTTTCCTTGGCTTTAAGGTTCAGCATAAGTATTTCCAGAGTTGTGCTTGCTTTTAAAATCCGTATGTATTTTACCAACTTGCCAGGTGCTAATGCACAGCCATCTTTGCACTTCATAACATTGGTCCACAACCTTATTAAACACATATGCTATGCATTTGTTCCCCTCCAGTCCCTGGAAGCCCTGATGTCCATTAGAGAAGGGGAATAATTTTTTTAAATAGCTCATCCACCTCATTTCTAATCTGCCTCCTATCTCAATGCCTTTTAAATCCACAGGTTATTTAAACACCTCTTTTATTGTCATTTTTCTGCCTTCAAACTGCATTATTGCTCCCAAGAAATAGTAGGTAGGGAAGTGATCTCATCAGAGGGACAGATGCAAAGAAGTTGTGTAGCATCTCACCAAAATACTTTCCAAATAACATCTGGCCCACTCTGGTTGACTATTGCAGCTTAAGCCCCTGTCTGCATGTCATAGAAAACAGGAGTTCTGCCACATGCAGTGTTTCTGTTTTACCATGTCAGGAGCTTTCATCTTATTTGCCATAGAGTTTTATGCCTTGCCTTCCTCCTGATCCTTCTGGTCACTTCTATATATGGCTCAGTGTTATTTTAAAGTTTGAAGCATTTTTTTAAGTAGACTTTCCCATAACTAGACTTTCTCATTTCTTTTTACTTCTTCTAACCTTGTAAAATTTAGACAACTAATCTAAACTAGTAGAGTTTGTAGCCAGTGGAGAGAAAAGGGCTTAGCCATTCAGTTTCAGAATGCCTTAGTCACTCAGGAAAGAGGATGAAGATAGGTGAGATGAATTGTTCTGCGGAAATCTCTCTCTGCCTTGTGGAAGCAGAGAGGGAACCTAGGAAGACTAAGACTAAATACTGTGACTGTTTCCCTTTGCCCTGGTCATCTTTGCTATCTGTGGCAAAACTTCGAAAATGAGCCCTACTATAGTTTTTAATGTGCTGCCATTTGGTAGCTTGGCCCATCTGTTTCCTAAAACCAAATTGAGACAATCGGTTTCTCAGGCTGATCTAATGAAAAAAGAGATCATCCTGCTTTTCAGTGTCTTCCATCCCTCACTCTTCTTCCACCCTTTCCTTGTACCATCTCTGTGTTTGTTGGACCACTCCATTCAGCCAACTTCCCTGGCAGAGGACTAATCCAGGAAAAGAGTGGATAGGTTTTCTGGCAGGTTTTGGTGAGGTGAAGGAACTCAGTGAAGGCTGCAACGTGTTGGAATGGGCCCAACAGGAGAGGAGAACAGTGCAGCCAGGAAGGTAGAAGAGAATTGAAAAGGCAGGGAGCAAAATCTTCCCAGTTTGGATAGCAGCATGCAGTTAGACAGGCTTAGCTATCTTAGGTAATGTAACCCACATTGCTCTAAACCTAGTTCTGTCTGACCAATTAACAAGTAATTAATTCATCCTGTAATTATCATAAGATGCTAGATTTTCACTGCTTTTTTTTTTTAGTTCCTCATTGTGCAAATAATTTCCTTCATCCAGGGCAATTTAGGATTTATATCCATCCTCATTCAGCTGCATTTCCACTCTGTATTAAATTACTAATTTGTACTTCACTTTCACTTTATCTACCCAATTACATACCTAAAGATAAAAGCAAGACAGGTTTCAACATTTCATTTTAGCGAGGCAACACTACCAGAAGGGGTAAGCTGGAGAAGATGGAGCTTAGCGGATCATTTCCATCACTGATTCTAAGACTTTCTTTGGTTTGGCACCAGTAAAAAATTCTGGAGATGTAACTTCAGACAGGATCTGAGTCTTGTTTCTAGAAGGTAATCACAACTGTGAGTGACACAGCTTCTCCAGATATGTAAGCACTGCTGGCCTCAGCAAAGAAACTTTCCAAAGTCAGTGAATATAGTGGGAAGAGGGTTTTTTTCCTCTAGAAAATGGATGGTAGAATAAAAGAAAGAAAAGAAAGCCCTTTAAAAATCCAGGATTGTAACTAAAAAGATGTGCACATTCTCTGAAAACAAACCTATAGCCTCTAGAGTGGTAGGGTTGCAAGTGCTCAAAAAAGAGCAGTTTGCTGACCTGTAATATTGCATATAATGTCAGGAAATTACACAGGAGCATGTATAAACTAGTTTCCCTGCCTCTACCCCTAGATTTTATGGCATTTAACTTCTCACCTCATTATTACCTTCCCTCCTCTACTTCTTTCTTCTCTCACAGTTACCATCACAGCCCTGTTCAGAACAAACTTTCGTATGGATTTCCCCTTCGATCTGCGAGAGCTGCCAGCATTTGCTGTAATAGGGTAAGTTCCTGGGAACCTGACTCCTTGCCCTACAAAGACTAAAATGGGATCTCTGTTAGGAATTCTTCTGCCAAACAATTACATACATCACTTTTAGACACTCTGGTTGATGCAAATAAGGCTTCTACTTGTGGGAATTCCTTCTTCAGAAATGGTGCCCATATAGCACAATGGGTAAGGAAGGATATGTGGATATTATCATGCTGTTTGTTATTTCCTTTCCATATATGTTTTTCAGAATTAAGCTCTGGGGAAAAAAAAAAAAAAAAAGAGAAAAAGTAAGTCTAACTTAGTTGAAGTTTTGGGAGTAGATTTACTGAACGGCCTTTTATCTGTTTTGATGGCATCCCCAAATGGCCTTTTCACATGACAAAAATGGGACAAAAGATTTAACCAAACGTTTTCTTTTTTACAAGGTCAGAATAGTTGTCCATTTCAAGAGAGTTTGGTACACTTGACATAGTGGCAACAGTAACTGAACTGTAATTGGATTCAGTGAGAACAGTGGTTAGTTTATTAAGATGAGCATCAGTTTTACTTTGTTTATGGAGATATCTAAATTACTTTCATTTGTGGAGGAAATTTTGGGAAATGAAATAATGGCCCTAAGAGGAATGAAAATTGGGAAATACTAGAGAAAACCTGAGTTTGGACTTGCTGTGGAGAATTTTCTTTGGTTAGAACTTGAAAGTGGCTCCAGGGAAATCACTGCAGAGCACTAATGAAGGGGATACACTGTAGGAACAAATATCTGTGCTGGTGGTGTGACCATGTTCTGTCGCAGGACCTGGATCCAAGACCAGAAATATATTTGAGGTATTCCTGGTCCTTTTACTAGGCTACTCTCCTATTAATTTACTTGACTATGAACCCCAGTGGGATTTTTTTTTAAGACATCAGATATATTGAAAATCTATGAATATACAGGGGCTTTTGCTAGCAATATATATCCACTTTGTTCCCCTTAAAGAGATTTTAATGCTGAACTTGGGGGAATCTAATTGTTTAGACTGGCAAGGAAAAGGTAATCCCTATGATTTACAGCTGATTGGTAGAATGCAAAACTTCTTGTCACCATGTTTTGAATTGAGTTGACCGAGCTGGGTTTTTTTTCCGTACTACACATAGGCTAGGAAAGGAGTATATGACAACTGCAAAATGCTTTCAAATGCCTGGGTGCACAGTGTAGTATTTAAAACAAAACACAACCCTAAAGTCTTGGAAAGTCTTGGATAAAGTCCTGATGCCAACTTGGAATGCTCCAAATTCTCTCAACATTAAATCTCAAAGTTGAACTCTTTCTTTCCAACATATTTCTCCAGTTTCAGGTAGAACAAACATTATCAACAGGTAGATCTTGCTCTTCTGTGTCAGGAAATGTTAATTTGGATAATATGTACATGAGGAACATTTCCTGTTCACTGACAAATTGGTAGACATGAATGGAGTGATCTATTTTTTAATATAAAGTATTATAGAGAAACTCAATTCACTGTGCAGTCCTTAGGCTTATATTGCCTAAGGGTCTGGTCTGTCTAACAGTAGTGCTAAACAATGCTGGCTTTAACTGTTTAAGAGCAGCTCATTGGATATGTTGTCTGTGAACAGCTTTATATTTAGATTAAACGTGTTTCTATGCAATTTTTAAATGATCAAGCAGGATTTTTTTTCAATATACAATGTTTTAAGTATGCTAAATTAATCTTTGAATGAGATTTGGCAAAAGCATTCATAACATATGACAAAGGAAAATTCCATTAATTTTAAAAATTAATAGAATAAAAAAGTGATCCGATTATCCTCAGTATTATGTGGGTTAATTACTTGCCACATAAAATAATACTTTCCCTTAACAATTCTAAGCACATTCTTCTTTCACTAATTTTGTAACAATTTTTTAAAACATTTTTATTTCTCCTTTGCATATTAGGCCCTATTTATTCAGGTTTCATTAAGCTACAGAACATAGGGATCAAGGCCAGTTCTTAGACAACTATCCTTTTTTGACTTTATTAGGGTCAGGAACATAGGCCTAAGTGATCAGGATTGTAGAGACAACATAGTTTGCATTAGGCACAAGAGTTGCTATTACTTTTATTGGTTGTTGTAGGCATATAATTTTGCTGAACCAGAGTTAAACTCCCTTAATTTTTACTATTTCCTGTTCCAACCTGATGTTTCAGTTCTGACAATACTGGTCTTTGCCCAGTTGCTCTTCACCAGCTCCCACTGAGGACTCGGTTTCTTTGTACAGATTATTTTATAGATGAGATTTCCCCCTCTAAGCAAGAGAAAATTTAAGTGGTAAAATGGCAGTATGTACAGCAAAGAGGTCCAAAGTAATCTCTTCCCTTTCATCAGGGAGTCAATGTCTTTAAAATGAGTTGCTGTAGGAGTAACCCTCTAGGTGACATTCATAGACATTCAAGACTTCATAAGCAGCTGAAGATGAAACCAGTCAAATCAATTTTCCTGGTTGATGGTTTGTGTGTTATCTATTGTTTGTTATGATTTAATCTATTTTTCTCCATTTTAGCATATGCTCTGGATTCCTTGGAGCATTCTTTGTTTATCTCAATCGCCAAGTGGTCCTGTGTGTCCGGCGTCATAAGACTTTGAGCTTGTTTCTCACCAAATAGTGAGTGCCTTTGAAAATACTCTCTTTAGTGACCAGATTTTTACAACCTACTGGTATCTGGATAGTAACAAAAGCTTTCTGGAAGATAGAAGATAGATATTTCAAGTGTAAGATAGTAACAATATGAGAAATTGCTGTTATGCGAGAGTAAGATCTCTGAAACTATCAAAGGAATATTTGCTATGCTGGATTTTCTTCTTTATCAGCCCCAATGGTTTCAAATAGCTTCTTTATTTAGAAGGGGGAGTCTGTAATATTCATTAAGAGGACAAGAGAAACTATTGATTGGATAGAAAATATTTATAACTAGAAAGTAAATTATCATGCTTCTTCAAATTATGTCATTTCTGTTTAATGTTTTTAGGATCTGTAAAAAAATCAATATCATTTATATGTCAGGAAAATTAAATACAACTGGAATCTAACTATGACTTTAAAATCTATTTTATATATCAAAATATGGGCCAAAATGTAAAGAATGTGCTGCAGTATTGCAATTACTGCAATCTTGAGAACTAAAAGCTGAAAGTGATAGTAACCAAATGGTGTGAAATGCACCATGGAAGAGAAATGCAAAACAAAAATCTTAACAATCAAGGTTTTACAGGGCACTTGAAGATATGTTTTCCCCACTCTCCAACAAAGTCCTATCCTCCAAAGTTATAACCTGAAGAAGAAAAGGTGGCTAACTGTTGTCAGTCTCTTTACAGAAGAAATCTGATGGTATGAGAATTTTTCAAGTTAAGAGGTGTGGATCTACATTTCTCAGCAAGTTGAAGACCTGAGCAGGAGAAAACAGATAAATAGAAGTTCAAGATAGCTTAATTTTTTTATGTGAAAGAAAAATTGTCTTTCTTCATCATGTAGCATTACCCACAAGCATCACCAGGGCCATCAAACAAAGTTAATAAAGAAGTGGAGCAAAGCCTGGAAAGTGGAAATTTACTTTAATTTCACTAATTTCTCAGAATTTTGTAGGTCCCTAGACTGAAAGAAATTAAAGGTTATATTTTGTCTTCCTGAATACTACAACAGGTCAGCCAAAATGTCCTGTAGGGAACCCAGTAACTTGCCAGGGGAGACATGCCAGGATTAGTCCAGCATGTAGAGGCAGCTTAGACTCATGTTGTCTTAGTGCTCATGAAGTGTCACAGTTTACCCAGAAACCCACCCTGGGTCTGGACACAGCAGTAGGAAAATATAGATAGCTTCAGCCTGCTGACTAGCTATGTCCCACTGGCCCAGCACAGCTAGACCCACTGGCTACTAAGGACACCTTTCCAAAAATTGTGGCAGTCAACAACTCAATAGAAAAGATAAGCAGTTTTTCCCATAAGAATTAATGCAATACAGGATATCTGCAGGAATCTATGAAATAAAAAACAAAACTATATTTAAATCCCCTAGGACAGGATACATTACATGAGGGATGAAGAAGAAAGACTGGCATAATCAGGACAAATGGAGGAAGCACTGGCTTTTGTCAACAGGTCGACACATCACTGCAAATACACATTTCCCCCCCACATGTTCAAGCTTGCGCATTTTGTACATCCTTCTCTTCCTCCATCCCTCCCATTACATTAATTCTGATGGGGAAAAGGGCTTTGTTGACAGGTGAACTCTGTATGAATTATGATGATCAGTGCAGCAGGGCATAAAATTCCCAGTAACAGCACTCTAAAGCAATGGCTACAGATACAAAGAACTTTCACAGAAATAACATTCACAGAATGTGAAGGCATATTTAAATAATTTTTCCTTTCTTTACAGCCGACTCATATACCCTGGGATTATAACCTTTATTATAGCAACTGTGACATTTCCTCATGGATTTGGGCAGTTCATGGCAGGAGAGGTGAGAGTGGGGGTTGTATTAGCAACTCTGTGGAACAGTCTCCCCTTATCCTGTGCCCCAGTAACCTCATGTCATGGAAAGGGGAAGAAAGATATGGGAGCAGTTTGAACAGAGGAGGGGCTATATGATCTCTGCTATCTCCTTCATATAAAACTTGAAAAATGTCCATTCTCCTGAGCAAATAATAAGGAACCCCATGTGTAAAAGTAGTTCTCTCTTCATCTGTTCAGATAAAGTTCTGTCTCTCTTCCTGAAGATTAAAAATGTGAATTAAGTCTCATGAGTTATCAAAGTAAAAATCTCCTCCACCTTTTTTAGGAACAGAGGTAGAATATTTACTCCATCTCATCTCATGACTCATACCTGTTTTTTTGCTGTTTAGCTGATGCCACGGGAAGCCATCAGCACTCTCTTTGATAACTATACCTGGATAAAACACACAGGTGACACTCAGATCCTAGGGAAATCTGCTGCCTGGATCCATCCTGATGTTAGTGTCTTCGTCACCATCCTGCTCTTCTTCCTTGTGAAGGTAGGAAGCACAGCTCACCATAACCCTTCTCCACTCAGAGTGAATATTCTTGACCCTTTGTAAAACAGTTTGTGAACTGCCAGTGAGGAGTTGCTGGGTGTTGAATGAAGCACTACAACTGCAATGGATTTCTACATCTTTTGATGTGATGTTTACCCACCTTGAATGCAACATTACCAAAATTATTAGGGTAGAGTTTCCTGGCCTTAATTTAGTGGCCTCCTTCACTGCTCCCTAGGTCACCCTCCTCATGCATCCTTCTGAATGACCTTTGGTACCCACTGTATAGTGGTCGGTAGGGAGGACTACATCAGGAAAGACTTCTCAAGTTCCACAAAAATAAGTACTTGACTAAAAAGCTCTTGGAGAATTTATGTTTGATCTAAATAGAGGTTGATACAGTCTATTTTATATTCCTGACTACAGCCAGGAGGCAAGTAAGAATATGCAAGCACAATCTTTAGTTGTGTGAGGCTCAAGGATTTGCTAGCAGTACTATAACTTGATGGAGAAATGCAGCTGAAAACTGTTTTGCTCACTTCTCAGAAAGCAACAGTAGATTAAAAGTTCTGAGCTGACATGGTCTGTGGAGGTTGCAACTGTTCAGCCTCTGAAAGGATCAGCTGTGTAACTGATATAGGACAGAGCAAAAAAAGAAAGATATTTGAAAGAAGAAAATACCATATTCCAGTGTTCAAAATACAAGTAGAATGAAAGAGGCTTTCCTAAGATGGAAAAATATATATCTAAAAAGGTAAAATTTCATAGAAAATGTACTTTCTTATTTATTTATTGCAAAGGAGGAGAAGACCTGAGGCCACCTTATGATGTCAGTCGAATGGTTTATCTTGGCTTCATTTTCCCTTTTGTGCCAACCATCCTGTGAGGGTTACAGTGGAAAAGCTGTCTTGGGTGGATTTCCTCTATGAAACTGTGAAAGGATTAGTATCTCAGATGTCTACAGCTACAACAAGGTCTAGAGAGGCATCAGCTACTTAAAAGGAAGGATTTGCCTTGAGAATATGAACCTGAAATACCTGAAAGCCTTGTCCTTGATGTGCTGGACCATGGCTGTGTCTCTTCTATGGATGATAGAAGGAACATCTTGCCAGTACCCTTCCTTGTACAAGCTTTTGAAACAGCAGCATTCTTAGTGATTCCTTCAGCTGTGGAAATCCTTGTCATATTGCCTGAGAAAGCCTAAGCAAATTGGCCTTTGAGGTGTTTGTAAGATTAGACTCTTGTCTCCAGAAGAAGCCTGTATGTGCTGGGCTAAGTCAGCATATGAATTGGTCTTAGCAGTACCAGAACAAATTTCATCATTTTGACCAATGACCAACATAGTGATAGGACAAGGGGCAACAGACATGAGCTAGAATAAAGGAAACTTAGGAGCTGGACTTCAGGAAAAAATTCTTGCGAATGTAGATCAGCACTAGTACAAATTCCCAGAAAAGCTGGGGAATCTCCACGCTTCAAAATGGTCAGAACTCACCTGGATAGTGCCCTGAGCAAACCCATCTAATTTAGTAATTAGCCCTTCTGGGAGCACGGAGTTGGGGAAAAGGCCTCCAGAGTTCCCTTTGCACTGAAATCTTTCTGAGTCAGTGAATTTTTGACATCTCTCTTCTATAAAAAGCTAAGCAACTTGGAGCAGTAGGAAATACCAACTCCCAAGGTCCAAAGCAAAGGAGTTCTCATGTTCATCCATCCCCTTGGTGATTCAGCTTCACTGCCTCCACAGCAGTCACCCAGAGATCCTCTGCATCAGTGTTGGTGTGTTGCCAGAACTCCTCTACCTTTCATGCCCCAAAGTCCCTTTATCCTTCGCTTTCTGTCTGAACTACTGCATCCCTCAGAATGTTTCCTTGTGGATTCACAGGCTGGGCAGTAGAGTGGGGCTGCAGGAAATGCTATTGCTGCTCAGTAACAACTGCACCTTCTGCCTCTGTTCTAGTTTTGCATGGCTGTCGTTGCTACCACGATGCCAATCCCCTGTGGAGGCTTCATGCCTGTTTTCGTATTAGGTGAGTTTCAATTTCATGTTGCAGCATATACAACTGACAGGTGGAGAAGTAAGAGAGACATTGTGTACATACCCAGTAGGTTTCTTCTAGTGTATGAAGGGTCACCACTTGATGTTTATGACAAGCTTGATTAGCAGTCCATATACCAGCCTCTGAGTCTCTGCTTTTGCCATTTTCCCAATCCCCTGAAATCAAATGCTGAGGAGGAAATCCCTGTCCTTTTACACAAGGAAAGCCACACTGTGGGGAGACATTCTCAGCCATGGCCTTCTAATCTCTCTGCCTCTTCACCTACACAGAAATCTTCATCCTACAATAACTAGTAGTTACTCCTTTCACCCCTGAAGGCCAGCTAGAAGAGATAACCTCAAAATTAGTACCCACAATGTCATCTACCACTGATTCATTTCTTTTGGCTGAAATACGGTAACATACCGAAGTTTATTGCTTTTTAACTGGTTTTAATTCCAATAAAAAAAAAAAAAAAGAATAAAATAATATGATACTAATGTTAAGAAAGAGAGCCTAAGTTAGATCAAAGTATGCAAGCTCATGAAGTTCAGCATTAAGTACCCACAACTCAAATGAAATAGTGTGCTCTAAGGACCTCTGGGTTCCGTCAGGCAGCAACTGAACCTGAGGCAGTAGCATGCCCTTGCAATGACGAATGATAACCACAAACAAGGCTTCATTCAGAAAGACCTGGCCAGCAAGGCAAAGAATTTGGTTATTTCTCTGCATTCAGCATTTTGGACACAGTTCTGGAATACTGTGCCATTCTGTGTCCACCATACAAAAAAACCTGTCTGGACAATGTCATGAGTGACTTGATCTCACTTTCAAATTAGTCCTGTTCTGAGCAGGGGTCAGAACACAACCTCCGAAAGTCCCTTCCCACTTGAAACTTTTCTGTAATCCATGATTCTAATATTTTGACATTCACAGACTGAGACTGAAGGGCCTCAGCTGTGATCTAGACTGACACTGCACATAGTCTAAAACTATGTCCTCCTACCTGGGAATCACAAGTACTGCTGTGCTTGATGTGCCCAAGTGGATGAATGAGGGGTCAACAGTATTTACATATCTTAGTACCTTATTCTCCTCTTGGAGTCTAACTTCTGTATTTTGTGACCAAGAACTACTCTTTAGCGCCCAGTGTCATCTTAATGTAAGTTTTGGCTTTGTTTCTGTTAGAAAATATTCAAGTGATTGTCCAGCACAGCTGCACAGCACAGACTGGATGTTCCTTAGATGTTAATTCCATAATTGTCAGTGATATTTTTCAGGTGCTGCATTTGGACGTCTAATTGGGGAAATCATGGCAGCACTTTTTCCCAGTGGGATCATCTTTGATGATATTGTTTACCAAATCTTACCTGGAGGGTATGCTGTCATTGGTGAGTCTCCATGTCTTTTTTTTTCTTTACCTGGTTCCATCACTGTAACTTTCCTGGTTGACATTATATGCTGTTTCTATATGACAGTCTTCTTCTCTCCCCATTGCTTTTCCACTCTACCTGGGAAAGGTGCAGCAGCTATGACAGGAGCGGTGAGCCACACTGTCTCCACTGCTGTGATCTGCTTTGAACTGACAGGCCAGATCTCTCACATCCTCCCCATGATGGTGGCTGTCATTCTTGCCAACATGGTGGCCCAGAGTTTGCAGCCCAGCCTCTATGATAGCATCATCCAGGTGAAGAAGTTGCCTTACCTGCCAGACTTGGGCTGGAATCACATAAGGTATAGTAGTAAAACAGAGGTGGATGTGAGGAGTGGCAGAGAAATAATGCAGAAGAGGATAAGACCACAGGAAAATAAAAGGTTATTAAAAAGGGATAGTACTACAAATGAAACAAATAGGCAGAATAGGCTTGTGGCAAGAAAAAACAAGTGGTGGAGCAGAACTGAAAGCACAGGTTTGAAAGACGTGCAGTATTAGTGAATTTGTATTGATATTGCCAAATTACTCCAGTTTAAAAATTTTAAAATTGTCTCATTTATCTAAATTCAGTGGGGTTTGGATTTTTTTCTCCAGCAAATGTCTGAAATATCATATTATTTGGGTATTTTGCTTCAAGCAAAATTCAGTTATTCATACATATGTCTTCTTCTCTGTAGTATATATAATATACATAGGAATGTATATAATAAACATCTATACATATATGTATACATATGTGTGTAGTCTATGGTGAAGGGTAATGGAGTGGAATACAACTGTAATATAAATCCAGTTACTCTGTGTTGATCCTGTTGCAAAGTCCTCTGGTTACTCTCACAAAAGATCATTTGGCAACTGTATTGAAAACACTTTTTAAAGAAGTGGTAATTTATGTATTTCTTCAGAGAATTGATCTGCTACACCTTTTTAATATGCTAAATCTTCCCCTTATTGTCCATAAATTCACAGCAAATACAATATCTTTGTTGAGGATATTATGGTGCAAGATGTGAAATTCGTCTTCTCCAACTGTACATACCGAGACTTGCAAACACTACTCCAAAACACCACAGTGAAGACTTTGCCTTTGGTAGACTCACCAGGTAAGAAATGTGGAGAAAGTGGTCCTTCCTGAAGACTGTCCCAGCTTAGAGAGCCAAAGAATCTAGCTTTCAAATTATCTACTGTGAAGCACACAGTGTAACCTACACATAAAAAATCATCATAAAAAATTTTCTTCTGTGGATGGTGTATGACAGAAGACTGTTTCAGCTGATCAGACAGGTAAGCTGGAGTGTGGGTGGTGAAGCAGATATAGCAGGTAAGGGAGCTGTGTGGGAAGTTTGTAGACTGAACTGTGACAACAGGACCCTCATGGGATCTTGCATAAGAAAAGAGCCTGGTTCTGATGTGGTGTTGAGGAATGGCACTGCTCAGGGAGGGTGAGCTTCCTTCCCACAGCCTAGTAGCAACTGAGAGGGATGTTCAATGGCTCTTGTACAGCTCTAGATAGTATGAGTCCGAGCACTTTGAAGAGGCTGGAGGGAGGAAAGGGCAGTGTGTGTACAAGGAGACTCAAAACCTCAAAGTGGCTTAATGGCTTCTCTGCTCTGTGTTATGCAGAGACCATGATCCTTCTGGGGTCTGTAGAGCGGTCTGAACTGCAAGCTCTCCTCCAGAAACATATAAGCCCAGAACGGCGACGGCTCCTCAACAGAGAAATGCAGCAGAAGCTGTCTGAGGCACCCTACGATGGACACAGCAAGGCATTGTGGGCAAATCTGCCAAAGTTGAAGCATGAATCTTTTGTGTATGTTGACGAGGATGAGGATACAGATGAGAAGGGAGAGGTGAGGGAGAGAAGTGAAGAGACTGCAACACAGAGACTGCTCAAGAAGCAGTAATGCTTTTGGAGAGGCTGAGAAAGAAATGACACAAGGTAGACTTTTATTTTCTCTCCATAACAGCTGCCTCGGCCCCCAACTCCCACACCCAGTTATCCAGAGGAGCCCAATGGCCCGACAAGTCCTCTTAAACAAATGCCTGAAACTTTGGAGCCCCAGCAACACTCAGGTATGATAACTTCTGGCATGCCTCAACCACATGCTAGCCAGCTTGGGAAAGCTTTCATGCTGTGTGTACATGCCTGTGTGTGGTGCTGGTTTCCAGAGACTGAGAGAAGGAGCTTTCTCTGCTGCTCCTGTATTAAAGATACTTCATTAGTGTACCTCAACATCGGTGTAATGTACCTGGAAATATATTCAGTTGTGATCCCTCAAAGAGCATGGCAAAAGTAGGACTACAGAGGATGCTCTCTCTCAGCACTCACCACTCCATCCTTTGCAATAATATCTCCTTAGATATTTTCTGGAGAGTCTGCATGGAAGGCTCCCATCTCTTGGTTTCTTCACCATGTGAATGAATTTCCCTGAGAAAAACAGCCTGAGAGCTTGGGTGGTAACTTAGGCTATTGCTCAGCTATCTTCAAAACTGAAAGGCTCTTCCCTTGGACACGTATATCTTTGATTCAGCAACATTAATATGATGGACAAATACTGATGTATTGCATTCTTTGTGGGCCCAGCTTGTATTAGCTTTGCTTTCATGACTGTACTCATAGGTCATTTCTGATTCATATATCATGTATATTTGATACAGGATGGTGGGTTGTTTTTCTCCATTATGCCTCCTGAAAGATACAGAGTGAGTAAGCACAGAGGTGTAGCAAAGCCTTGAGAATGAATACAGAGAATAGGGCTCTAGCTCATGCTTTTAGGCACCGAAAGATTAACATGTAATCCAGCGTATAACACATTCTGGTTCATTAACACCCCTAATGTATGACTAAACCTCCAAGGCATAGAAAAATCCACTTCATGCTTCCAGAGTGGTAAGGCAACCATCCATCTTCCTTACCAAAGCAGAAAAAGTCACATCAAAACAGGGACAGTGTGTGAAACAGTTTACATGAAGTTAGTGTTTCAGAAATGACTATGAGTGACTTCATGAGGCCTTCCCTTTTATTGTTTGGCTCACAGCTAACATTGTTTCTGATCAAACTTCCTCCACAGCCTTGTTCATAACAGCACCAAACTGCATCTCCTCCTCTTTGCTAACTCTTGCCTGTCTGGCCTGGAAGTATTATTCCCACCATTACACTGCTGGCACAACCTATGTACTCCTCAACCCTTTGTACCCGTCACATTCAGACTGTTGAGGTGTTTTGTCTTTGAAGTATTTTCCAAATTCTTACATCCTTTGTCACACTCATCCTCCAAAACACGTTTTCTTTGTGGGCTGTGGAAACCTCTTGGCACAGCATTTTGTCCTGTGTATCAGATTGTTTGCTGTGTTAGTAGTCCTGCTTTTGGTCTGTTGTTTGGGTTTTTTTCTGATCTATGAGTATTGTCTGCAAAGACAACTTTGGGGGGATGGGCATGGGGCTTTGTATTTTTGTCTCTCACTTATCCTTCTCTCTTATCCATGTGTTTGTTTTTGATTCTTCAGGCAATTTCAGGATTTTGAGGCAACTGATCCAGCTGCTCTTGTGCCATTGTAACCGTCCACTTGAAAGAGAGAGCACAGTCCAGGTTAGTGCTGCACAGAGCCTAGTAGTACCCTGAAGAAGGAAGGGAATGCAATGGAAATAGAGCTCACTACTCAGTGACATTCAGCATTTAGCCAAAGGATAGATATGATTATGGTCCTGAACTCTGGTAGCTTCAGTAGGGAACTCTCTCCAAGGAGAAAGTGTGTGATTAGTGTAAAGGAGTGTGCATCTTCATAAGGAGCCACTTGTGCTCAGATGTCAAGGCTGCCATCGTGATTGAGTGTGGGCATCTTTTCCTCAGTGAAAAAAATTAATTATATTTTGGCTAACTTGGAATAAAGTGCAGTTCTATTTCATTTGCCAAACAGTTTTGGCCAGGTGGAGAAAAATGAAAAATATTTTTGGCTCTTGGCTTGTTGAATGCCCTTGGGCATGTGACATGCCTGCATAGGATTTCTGGATATCATACAGAGCTTATGAGAGACCCATCCACTCTGGGGCAGTGGTTGGATCCCATGTGGGATTATCTGATAACATCTAAATCAGTACTAGATGATGATGTTTAGGCACCTGAATTGCTCCACCAGAATTCTATAGTGAATCTTCATTGGCAAAGGAAGCACAGCATGTACAGAGTACACCTTATAATGAATAAGTATAAAGAAAATCTAAACACTCAGTAATAGACTGTTTGGAACAAAAAGGGGACCACATGGGGTGAGAAGGCTGTGCAGATTTTTCCTTTCTGTACTCTGTGAAACTGGATTCTTTGGCTGTCCTGAACGGTGTTTTCTCCTACAGGAGCCGGAAGTTGTTGAGACAATGAGGCCAGAAGAGGTAAGACAGAGTGCAGAAAGGGAGCGAGGTTTAGTGAGTGCTTTTTTTACCCATTTCCTCTAACTTGCAATACCTCCTGAACTCCAGCAACCTCAGTGATTGTCACATAAAACCATAGCTAAAGCCATTTTCTTCTTTGAGTTGCAGAGAGGGCAACTCTCACCCAATAAGAGAAGAGATTGATTGGCTAGATATGCTGATACGGCTCTGACTAATCCGATCTAGTTTTGAAGTCAGCCCTGCTGAGAGCTGGTTTTTGGACTAGTGACCTCCACAAGTGCCCATCACCTAAATCCTTCTGTGGGCCTATGTTATTCCTTCATTTTCTACACAAAGGATCAATTATCTTGCAATGACAAAGGCAAGATGCACTCAGAAAGGAAAGCTAAGATGTTCACTCCCTCTTTAAGCAGGAAGGAGAAAAACCTCATCTTCTCAGAAAACCTCTGAGGTACTGGAATTGCTCTGTTTCCATAGGGACTTTGGGCAAGGAAGGGATGGGAATCCTGAGGGATGTGATATAACAGGCAAGATGAACAATCTACAAAGGAAGCAAGAAGCCTTAACAGGAGAAGGGGACTAGTTTGGGTGCACAGGAGAGGAACAATATGGCTTACTGAAAAGTGATTCCTTTTCTTTCCTGTGTCAGATAGATGCTTGGGAACAGGAGGAGCTGAACAAGAACGTGTGCTTTGACACCTGCCGCATAGATCCCTCCCCTTTCCAACTGGTGGAGCGAACTTCCCTGCACAAGGTGGGTGCAGATGTCTCCCTGAGGCATTCATGGTTCAACTGTCTATCATTGCAAGTTGAGTCTATGACTTCCTTCTTCTCTTCACCTACAACTACTCCCACCAGCTACTTCCACAATCAGCTACAGAAGTCAGTTTCTTTCTATGACCTTATGTGTATACCTCCAACCTCCTGCAAAATGAAAAGCTACATGATAAGAAGTCTGAGTGCATTTATTAAGATAGCATTTGGATACTACGTAGGATTTCCCAGCCACTACATTAACAGAAGGAAGCATTGTATACTTTGCTGCTGGGGGCATTACACTGAGATTTACACTCTGCTTTATCAGTGTCCAGCACTGGAATGAGTACTCCTGGATTTCTCAGGGTGTTTCTGTCAGGGTGTAGAGTCTGCTTAAATCATGGGCTCTTTATTGAACTGAAGCACAAGGAAAAGGATTATACAACTTTTAGAGTTAGCACAGGATGACTGGGGATAAAAGCAATCGTATGTCAGAAGCAAGAGAGGACTAGGCTTTCGCTCAGTAGAAAGGGAAAACAGTCTGCTGAGGCAAAAGTGCACAGTGCATGCTTTTATCAATATTCATTTAGTGTGAATGGTCACCATATGCCTTGCACAAAATTAATTAATTACTCTTATCAAAGGGGTAAGATCTCAGCCTTGAGCAAAATAAGAACAGGTTAGCATATAGTTCAGATGAGTTTGGTATTTCTAAAGGGCTGTCTGAAGTAATGGATAAACCACTAGCATTTATCTTTGAGAATATAGGGGTTACAAGAAATTATACCTGAAGGCTGCAAATAGGAAAAGCTTCATACCTGACATACAAAAGAGCAACTGAGAAATTCTGAAAAAACAGGCAATCAAGTTGGATCCACAAAAAAAAAGCAGAAATAAATAATCAAACTATCTGAGCTATGCACAGTTAGTGCTAAATGTGAGCTACTGTCAATGGCAAGAATATCACAGTTTATCATGATCAAATTATATTTAAGCAGTCTGATTTTCTTTTACATTAGGGTAAAATGTCTTGTTCCTGAAAAATGAGATTTTTCCTAGTTTACCCTTGAACATGACATTCAATATCTCATGTGACGTAAAAAAAATAGAAGGCAAACACCAGCTGTGAAAGAATGACTTCATGTAAGGCCACAGACAAAGTCCAGCTAGAGCTTAGCTGAAAGAACTCTGAGGCTGGAAATACACCACAGATGAGCACTAAGAATATGGAAAGTTTTAGAAAGCCAGATCTATGAAAATAATGGGGTATATTTAGGCTCAAGAAAAGAAGACTGATAGCAGTGTGATATCTGTCCTTTCAAGGAGACTTTGTAAGAGAAAGGGAATAACTTGTTCTCAGTGTTCTCATTACACTGGGTAAGCAGCAACAAACTTAAGTTTTGATGGAAAATATTTTGGGACAGGAAAAAAATAAATCTATTGTTAAGGAAAGCACTGGAATAAATAAGCTTAGCAGTTTCTGACTTTGAATATTAGTATATGCTAGTTCACTCTCCAGCACCAAAACGAAATAGGAGCTGCATAAGTCCTCAAATACACAACACAGGGTGTTGCATGCGAATCTTTTCTGGATGCAGGATGAGAGTGACCTTGAGAATGTGCTTTCCATCATCAACACACTCCCAACTACAGATGCACAGCAGAAGGACCAAAGGGTAGTATTTGGCAGCTACAAAAGAAGGGAAGCGGTAGTTTCTCACTGGAATAACTGCAGACTTGCGTGTCTTTGTGATTCCCATTTCTAAATCCCAAGTTCCAGCTCTAGCACCAAATATCATGTTACCAGTTTCCAAAGTTCCTGAAATGATCTTTTGTGGTTTTCCTTATAGACCCATACATTATTCTCATTACTGGGCCTCAGCCATGCCTACGTAACCAGTATGGGGAAGCTGAGGGGAGTCTTGGCTTTGGAAGAGGTAAGTATAGGTCCTTTACTATCCCCTTTATCAACTGCAAATGTCCTGGGGATCATTGCAATAACTTGCAGGTGCTGGAAGTTCCAGCTGGGTATATGTATAACTGCAATTGCTACATTTTCAATCCAGTGTTGAATTCTGAGTCAACCCTTTGGAAGCTGTGTAGAGGAATGGATGACTGCATTTCAGAGTAGGCAGCAGATGTTGTTTACAGGGATGTTAGAAGGTTCATCCTTTTCATGAGTGTAGGGCTCTTAACTGAGTGGCTATTACTGTCTCAGAAAGTGATGTGGAATTTGTTGTTTACCATGGAATTTTTCATTATACCGCCAGTGTAAAAGATTACCTCCATAGGCCCCAGAGGTAAAACTGTGACTCTATTTGTGATCCCTTTACCCTGGGGTGTAGATGAACCTCTGCTGGGTAGGGCTGAATCAGCCACCCTTTCATTTGTTTTTTCTGAACCTCTTCTCTTCTTACAGCTCCAGAAGGCAATAGAGGGTTCCACGCGCTCTGGGGTTCGTCTCCGCCCACCCCTTGCCAGTTTCCGTGATACCAAACGGACTGCTACCAACAGTGAGAAGGTCAGACAGGCCACTCAGGCATGGAGCCAGGAGGACAACGGCATGGTGGTAGCACAGCAAGCAGCAGACTTGGGCACAGAGAGCCCACTGCCTCCCTACTCACAATCCCCCCAGCCTTCACACTCACAGGAAGAGGAGGAAGTTCTGTGCTCAACTTATGCCACTGATACTGAGTTGGAAGAGATGGAGCTGACAGGGCCAGTTGCTGACAACATCTCAGACATCCTCAAGGACATAAGCCTACGCACCACTGACCTGGATGAAGATGAGGATGAGGATGTCTCCTTATAGCTGGTGTGAGGATAGTAGTCCATCACACTCTTCAGTGAGCCAGTCTTTTTGTGTTTGCTCCTCAAAGAGAAGCTTTTGGATGTTATTTGCAATCCCCACAGAGGAATGATTCAGCTGAGAAAAGGGACATCACACCAACCCTTTCTTCTGCTGCTTTCTTTCTGTGCAAATGCTGTTAGGCTGTTAGACTATACGGGCGTGTGCAGGTTGGATGTGGACTGGAAGGTGCCTAAATGCAGGCTCATAATGCTTAGGCTTCTGCCAGGACTACATAACATGGCAGAAGGGATTGTAACAGGACATGAATACTGCTGACACAGTCAGGATGCTCTGGGTCCATCTGCCACCTGGAAAGCCAAGGAGGAGCAGTTCTCATTCACCTTTCCAGTCACACCTCACCTGATCTGCATGCACCAGTGTAACACTGCCAGACCTCCAGCCTAGAAGCATACTGCTGCTTCTGGCTGCAATTCTGTCCACATTGCTGCAGCTCCTTTACACTAGCTCTTATCTTGCATCCCCCCCAAACATTCCCATGTAGAACATTTTTATTCTTTCTCACTTTTTACTCTGGGATTTTCCTGGATGGGGGTGTAGTTAGGAGATTCTCCTCTGTCCTTTAGCTGAGCCATGCCCTAAAAACAGATGGGAGAAAAATATTTGGTATATGTCTGATATCTTGAATTCAGCCAAGGATTTAGGAAGCACTGCAAGGGAGAAAATCCTCTTTGTTTTCCCATCATCTCTGGAATGTTTAAACAGAATTGGAAAATCTTAAGTGGGGACATCCTCAGTGTTGGGGAAAGAGGAGTAAACAGCATGTATGTACCTATATTTAAAATACCTGTATTTATCTCTCTGAATGACTGTTCACAATTTTTCCACAGTTATAGTCTTAAAATATAAGAACTCAAAAAAATAAATTATGGAGTGTTAGCAGGCTGCCGAGAAATGCAGAACAGGGAAGCCATGTTTTCTACACTTTGAAAACAGGTTTCCTTCTGAAAACTCCTGCTCTGTTTCCTGGTAATTCTACCCTGCCTACTTTCCACATATTTCTGCATACCTCAGATTTGAGAATTCCAGCTCTCACTTCTGCAAGCTTGTCTGCATTGTGACTAACGGCAGAGACCTCAACACTTGTCTGCAGCATCCCTCTCTATTCCAGTTCTAAATCTGGAGCAGATCTTGATCTGCATCTTGCAAAAAGATGCCTTGTCAGTTCGTGTCATGCATGCAAAACCTTAGCATTCAAAGATAAGATGCTGCTTTAACTCACCGCTCTTGAGAGGTTTTCTCAGTAAATAGGCAAAATCAAATTCTGTTTATTCTGCAGCTTTCTTCTAACAGTCTACATCTCTTTCTATCATATTTTTGGTGTCTCATGGCACTTAGATGCAGTCCCAAGCAGCCTATTGGATGTATTTCCACATATCAGCAACACAGAAGAAATCCAGGCTCTGAGAATATGTTCTTGGGGTTATTCTCCCAGATGTTGGGTGACATCCCCTTTCCTGATATTAGTAAAGCATTATCTAGCTTAGAGTGACCAGTTTCAATTTAACAGGAAATTTTCCATAAGCTGTCTCAGGAGCAAGTCAAAAATATCATTACCTCTAACCCAGTCGCCAAAGGAAAATTCCCTCCTGGCTTTAATTCCAAGAATTGACCTTGCACCAATTCCTTTCTGATGATGCTTATGGATGGAAGAGTCTGCGACAAGTTTATAGTAGAGGGAAATCTCCCCAGTTACTTTCTTGAAAAGAGAGAAATTTATTTTTGCTGTCTGGAATTCAGAGCCCACCAGCTCTGCATTGTCTTTGGCATGTGATCCTTCTCTATAAGCTAACTGGGGACAGCCTTTCCCTTTCTTAATGGTCTTCTGTCCTCCGAGTCACCCTGTCCTTGTGGGACGACAGTGGTGATCTGAGGGCAAGCCTCTTGCACACACCAGCTGTTTGCCTACACCAAAGGGGAACATTTCTGTCTGCCAGGTATTAGCACAGTCTCCCACTATGTTTGTGTCACCTTCCACAGCCTGCAGAGAAGAGGCAAAACGACTGTGTCTTTTTCTTCTCAGGGAACTATGATAGTCCTTTATATAGGCAAAGGAGAAAGGACATTCCTTTTAAAAACCCAAAAATGTGCAGTGAGTGACAACAGTGAGACCAAGTCTGATCTGAGGGTCCATGTACCCTCAGGAAGGATGAGTTTCTCCAAATCATCCCCAACCTTATTGTGCAGACTTATATTTTGCAGCTTAACCAAATGCTTGAACTGAGACAGATGAGACAAGGAGAAACTTTGAGGCTGGAGTCCATACCTCCCTCTTCTTTCCTGAATACAGATACATGTTCTGCTCCAGTCCCACACTTCTCCTACAGTGTGTTACAGAAGAACTGGGATCTGACTGGCTGAGAAAGCAGATGGAGTCTAAATCAAAGCCAGCGAGTGTGTGAGTCACGACAGACAGATTGTGAACTGGGGGAGATGAAGCTGGAACAAAAATGATGCACAGGGAGAGGCTTGGAGAGCTCCGAGTAAGACACAAACTAACCTGGAAAGCTTCTTGAGGTTTGTCACCTGAGGGTACAAGAGCACACACATGTGCCCACACATGCACACACACATTATCTCTCCATTCCTACTGCCTTTAGCTGTCCCAGGCTTACTATGAGGTGCTGCACTGCTCTCCATGGGGGAGCTGAACGGTGGGTGTAATTGCTACTCTTTGTAGATACTACTTAAGATCCATTTCAGGTATTGCCCCCCCTTGGAACAGAAGCAGCATTCATCGGCACCAATTTCTCACGTGGGAGAAAGTATTCATACATGAAAATGTAGAGGGAACTAGGATGGGACAAAAAACATACTGCAAAAATGGTTTGTGAAGGCTGAAGTTGTTTCCACTTCCATTTTACCAATAAAATCTTCACTGAGCTTATACCAAGTACTTTTATAGGTGTAAAATGTGCAGTAAACAGACACTGAATCTTTGTCAATGGAACTCTAAGTTTGTGCCCTCTCAGGCAATCCCAGTACACTCCCTCAAGTTTAAACCTGAAACCTTTGTCCAGCAAACAAAGTTACACTGACCTGTCACTCTAGAACCTGTCTCCCACCCGATACAAGGAGTACAAACTTGGCTACGTACACGGAAAAATCATATTTTCACTAACCCAAAATATCTTCAGAACTTGTAGCAGCACTGAGGCCTTCCCATTCAGCTAGAAATTCAAATCTTTGATCTGCCCCCAAAAAACCATGCACAAGCCTTGAAAAACAAGAAGCTCTGAGGCTGCTTTGACTCAGAGAAACTTGATTTTCTCCTAAATCTGAAAATCATTGTTTTGGGCAAAGCTTCATATTACACCAAGTTTGCCATTATCACTCGAATCACTAAAATAGAGCTGATCTTGTTCAGTATTTTCAACTCCAAATACCTGCAGAACTACATTTGGTACTCAACATATAATAGGCTGAAAAACATAACAATGAAAAATCTCCATCAGAGCAGAAAATTTCGGCAAAACACCACCACCACCAACAACAACAACAAAAGAAAAGCTGAATAAAATCCTTTGACCTTGTATCTTCAAAATAAATGCAGTCTTAATCTCAACTAACTGCCAGTACACTGAAGTTAATGAAGGTATAAGTTCTCTCTTAATTTTAATCTAGCAATAAGTTGAACACTTCCTTTCACATGGCATTTAAATGTGAAAGCAGAAGTCTTGTTTTTAAATGCATCAATATAAAGAATTGAAAAAAAAAAAGGAAGACTTAAGGTTGATAAGACAACAGATAGGGCTTTGGGTAGTTATGACAAGGCTAAGAGATTTGGTCATGAGCCAGAGGAAGCAGAAAATGCACAGAGATGGACTACTGGACAGCAAAAAAAAAGTGTCTGAACAATGTAATCATTTTGGCTAGTAGATTATTTCAGACTAAAATAATATTCTACTTTGTTAAGTTTATGAACAAAACCAGTTAGTGCTAGAAGAAATAAAGAGAAAGATAGAGTTCATAAAATTAACCTCCCTCTTCTCCCCAGTTATGCAAACAATGTACAGAAGTGTGTGGTTTGCAGCCAAAGAGCACAAGACAGGACAATAACCAGCCAGGCAAGTAAAGATCCCTCTTCGCCAAATTAGTCCAACCCCAGGAAGGGTATAATTAAAAACACACTACAAAAATATGGTCACAGCAAGCACTAAGTTATTCATGGTCACATAAGCACATACCTGGGCACAGCTTCCATAAAAGTTTAATCAACACTGGAGACCAATAATTAATATTTCCGCATAAAAGCCATGCCTGAGCATTAGTACTTGCAAACAGAGAAAAACATTTTTTATCTTAACCATGTGAATGCAAAATTTTTAAGGCTTTGTTTGTGGAAGGCAAGTTTAAACTGGTCCTGACCACAAGCCGCAGGCTGTCGTTCTGTGCCCGCCCCCACTGCTGGACAGATAACCCTGTGCATGTGCACTCATACACATGCAAACATCACCTCTCTGAAATCATGGCTGTGTAATAGTGGAAAGCTCTGCAAGTCAGCTGCCTGTGCCTGCAGCCACATCTCCCCTTCCCTCAGCTTGCTGGAAGTCAGAAAGTCCTGGTGCAGACTCACTGTAAGATAAGCAGCTACAGACACTGGCACGGACACTGCTGGGATTAATGTGATCGCTAAATGAAGCCAGCCTCAGCCAAACCTGTTACTAGTTCAAGCACTGGCCTTTCCATGAGCATTTGCTCACATTCCAGCTGTTTCCATGTGCTGCGTGTGCAAACACCTGTGTTCCCTAGTAAAACCAGTTACTGAAACACATCCAGCCAACTTGAAGGATTGCACCTGATATGGAGGACAATATATGCTGAGGGAAAGTCCAGCAGCAAATTTATAAAGGAAACAATGTAGAGAAACTAAAATGTTAATTGCCTGCTTTATATGAACAACAATCTAAACACTGCCAATATCTGACTATTTACTGGATAGC